GATTACATCAAGGTATACACCTACTAAATAAATCTATTCGGAATAGCTATATTCAATAAGAAATTGATCATATTGTTAGAGAGAATTTGTACATTGTTTAATAGTTAATGCAGAATTCAGTGTTTTCTTTGAATTTAAATTTAATCATGTCACTTTGACAATCTGGTAAATGTAGGATTTTTTTTAATGCATTTTGAGTAATGCATTTCATGCATGATTTTTGGCATCAAGTGTACGTTGGAAGAAGGGTAAGTGGTGGCTTTGATCGGACAGGTCATGATTTTGGCGTCAAGTGTTTGTTCTCTTTTTCAACGTGTCGATTTACTATTAATAATGCAATATATGATGCCTCGTAAAGAATGATTATGGATTTTTTTTTTTGTTGCTTTAGATTCTGGATTTGGTTAAAATTTGGGGATGGAATTGAAAGAGAAGCCAACAATAAATTCCTTTTTATATTTGAGGTAAAGTCGTATAATTTTTTATATTTCTGATATGGAAGCTGATTTTCATTCTTTGATATTTTCACCTTTTCTACCCGCTTCAGGAGTTGGTCTAAGAAGGCACCACATATAAAGGAAAAACAAAGCTTTAAAGTAGAGAGCTCCTTCACGGAATCGGAGCAACTTGAGTGATAGGAAAACATTATATTGAGTACAACTAGAGCTCTCTTCTTGTGTTTTCCTATTCCAAAACTTGAGCAAGATTAGAAGTCAATGATTATATGAGCAAGTGATGAGATGGAAACATTATTACATGAAGATCCAGTTTTAAACGTGACCTGAAATAAAGAAATTAATGTCATAGCTTCCATTTGAGATATTATAGACATAGTGAAACATCATATTTTATTGTAGACAAAGTGGAGCAACATATTTGTGCGGGTAAGTCAAATAACTTTATTTTATCAGCGTCAAGATGGCATGGATGCTGATTTTTGTAGATTTAGCAGACATGATGATTCATCTTATTTGCAACAACTGGTATTTTAGGCTTTAATAAGTTTGGGTCTCTTACTAAATATGTTGTCCCTGATACAAGTATAAAAGTTATATTTCATCTTTTATGTTCTCAACAATACCATAAGTTCTAAATTGAAGAGAGCCAAATGAGCAGACTTACATTTTTGTGGTGTACGTGTAGCTATGTATTGAATCTTTCCTTCTTTTCTGTCATATCTTTTTGCATTTTGAAACTGCATATTCAAGGAAAGCATGCATGATTTGACAATTAAGGCGGCTAGTTGTTAGCAGTTAGTTGTTTTCTAATCAAAGGATTGGTGCTGGTTTTATACCTGGGGTGCTAGAAGTCAGTCTCTAGACGAATTTGTTCAAGTAAGTCTTTTTGTTTTATCATTTTGGAGTTGTTGAGGCAATGTTGACTTGAGCAAAGCTTATTTTTGTACTAATGGGAAAGGGTCACTCTTCTTCCCAATGAAATTTGATTCTTGATTTGCAAATGTCTATGCAATTTGATTCTCTTTTTTGGTCTGCCTTTGCTAGCACTTGCAGATGGTTACAACAATTGATGAGGGAGTTGAAAACAGAGTGTACATTTCACGGAGCGTACAATATATATTGTGATATAGATATGCTTTTATTTATAAGATTAGGTATTACATTTACCACCCACTATTTTTTAGTACTTTAAGGCAAAATCAAACTCGATAGAAAACGTAATCATCTAGGCATAATGAACTCTAGTTAAAAAAAAAAAACAGAAAGAAAGAAGCAAAGAACGGAACAAGTACAAGAGAGTGAAGTCCATGGAACATTATTGCCACTTTGAATTGAAATCCAATGCCCAATAATCAACACTTCAATATCAACATGCCATTCTTCCTTCTAAATAAATGAGCTGAATCTAGAAGCCTCAATAGAATGTAGATAAGTTTCATAATTAAAAAAAATGCTTAAAATACTTATGTATAAGATTCTCACATCAAACTCACTTTAATTTATGAATGAAGAAGAGGGAGTGTTTTTCGAGAGGGATAATATGAGTATTTTGGACATTTAAATTTTTGTGTTTTATTTTTTATTTTTAATTTAATTCATCAATTTTATTTTCATTTCTTTATACCAAACGCCCACGATTCATGGAACCTCCCTTAGAATGTATAATCCTTGAGTTGCATCTCTATAAAGATCTACTCCTTCGGACTTTATATAATATAAGTTAGAGTTAATTAATTTACAGTTTATAAATAATGTTAGTTAAAATTTTAAATTCTTAAATATTTTATTGGTCTTATTTATAAGACACTTTCTAAAAATAATTTTTGATTCAAAATATATGAGACTTTACAATAATTAAATCACTTATTTCAATTTTATCCTTTCTTGATTAGCATGAACGTATTTAATTTAGTTGTATTATTATTTAAAACTTAAGGTAAAAATGAAAGTGCATATAACCTTTTTATAATATCAAGAAAAAATTAATTTTTTTTTAACATGCGTAACATAGTTAAAAGTATTTTGTAATAAGGACTGAAGGGAGTATGTTCACATCTTTTTATTTATTTTCTTATTAAATACTATTTATAAGAGCATTGACTATAGTAATTAAAATTTTAATACATAATTTTTTAAAAAGAATAATAAATGAAGTGAGAGTATAGTTGTAAAAATAAATATAAAAGTTATTTAATACCACATATTTTGAACCAAATAAAGTTTTTAAAAGATATCTTATATTATGATTTGAGGGAGTATATGCTCTTAATTAAATGGACTAATTAATTATTAGGATGTTTAGTTAATTAAACGAGGGAGTATATGCTCTTATATTATGAACCAACTAAGGGTACAGTCTTAGACGCATTAGTTACGCAGGAAATAGAATGTTTGACTATGGCATGCTTTTTTTTTTTTTTTTTTTGTTGGGGGGGGGGTTTCATTAATAATGAGAAATGGTAGTTGAGCTTGACGATGTCTATCTGTCATTTCCTTTTAGGACTAAAATATAAATATATTTAATTTTTTTTTAAAAAAATATAATTAATATTCTAACGTTTTTAAAAATGCAATGTAATTTCAATATTTTTTAAAATTGAATAGTTTTGTCTTACCATAACAGGACGTTCACGACCACCGTGAACTGTCAAGGAGGAAGATTGGAAATCTCTGTCGAGCTTTCCACCTTTGTCATGGCACAACGATGAAGCGGAGGAAGGGGGCACACCATCAAAGAGGAGAAGTCTCGGTCAAACAGATTGGACTTCTCACTCTTGCAAAAGCTTTAATTAAAAAAATCGAATGGTGACCATAGCAGTAACTGTCAATGGTGGGTTCTGGGTTTGTGAATCGAATGAACTGATTGGGTTGAGTTTGCCTGACCTTCTTCTTCCCCCATTCACTTGCCCACATCAGAGTCCGCTAGAGGAAAAGATTTCAGCTTTCTCTTCTATCAGAAAATCCCATTTCGTTTTATTGAAGTCTTTTTCCCCAGGTTCTATGCATTATCTATCTTTCGAGTTGTGAAATTTCTCATAATCTTATGCCATTGACAACTATCTTAGCACTAATTTATGTTTTTCCTCTGCTAAAATATCTCGATGCATATTATTCTATCTTTCTCGGAGACCTTTTCTGGTTAATTTAAGGTTTTCTGTTTTGCTACTCAATCTATCTTCCAAAAGCATTATTTTGATGGGTGAATATTGGATTGGGCTGTTTTCAATGATCAGAAGTTGCGGAATTGAGAAGAGAGTTGAGGATAGCATGCACATGGTATTACTGTCTTTCAATTTCTTTATCGAGTTTTGTTCTCCGAATTATGTTTGATTTTCTTTTGGTGATTGTAGTCTTCGTGGCCGAAATTATCCATGGGGAAGTGGCTTCATATAAAGAGCTTCATTACTAAATCTCACTCAGACTTAAATGAATTGGGTAAAGTAAAATGAATTGGGCTTTTCCTCCTTGATTTTGATTTGTGTTATCTAGATTGTGTGTCATGTGCTGGAAAAATCAATTATCGAACCCATGGCTTGTTGGTGATTATGAGATATTTATTTCTTGAGTTTCGGGCCCAGATGTGGGATGATTTCTTGAGGTAAGAAAGAGGGTAGGAGGAAGAAAGCAAAACGTGGGTGGTAAAGGGTATGGGACCCACTTAAGCAGAAGTTTGATCTTTAAAAAAATGACATGGACGCCACATGTGCATGCCACATGAGGACAAACGTTCTTCTAATAGTCAATAAGATTAAATTGTCACATTAGGTGATATTGTACTAATTTAAAAAACATCAAGACAACATTATATTTTTAAAATGTTAGGATATCAATTGTGTCTTTTTTTTTTTTGAAAACTTTGAGGTAGATTTGTATTTGAACCTTTTCTTTTAATATCAATATTAAGTTGGAAATTAAATGAATATTGAGCAAAGCTGACAGCTGGAATTGGAAAGGAAATAACGGTAGGAGAATTCCCATCAACATGAACAGTTCGAGTCTTTGGCGCCTATAAATATTTGTCAACCAAGAAATTAGTATGAAAACTTTTTTAAAAAATATGAGCTATAAACATCTATGTAGACAGTTATGTATATAGGTCTTGGTTCAGTATTGGTTGTAAATTTATAAAAAGACAAGGGATAACATTTATCAACACATGACGTCATTGTGCAAGGCTGCAATCTTCTTATTGAAGATAATCCAATACAAGATACCAACAAGTATTAAATAGACATTTTTTTAATAAGAATTTAAACATTAATTTGTTATATTAGGAGTCATTGTTTTTTTTTTTTGGTCTTGTCATTTTACTTTGATGAGATAAGTTGTCTGTGACATTTAATTTGTGCTACGGAAAAATTTGTATATAATTCTCTCTGATCTATTTTTTAAAACTTTATTTCGTCACCTCATGTAAATAGACAAGCTACATTGCGAAATTAAATGGATGGGTGTGTTGTGTGTGTGAGGAGTTTTATTGATGACAAATGGCGTCATAATTAATGAGATCATGAACTCCATCTCATTGTAGTTGTTATTCAAATGAAGAAGGACAAAAAGAAACAAAAGATTGCTGACGCGTTCATTACAAGTAATAAGCAAGGTATATGGGACTGAATAACGGAAGTAGCTATACATTATGATGATTCCAGTAGCTATACATTCAAAGGTGTTGTGGTAGTGATTACATGAGAGCAAGCTGACTGAAGTTGATGGGAGTGGCGAATTCAGGACCGCCACCATAAAGTGCGAAAGCTGCGGATAGCGAAGCTTTATCGGTTGGATGGAACCAATCCCAGAACAAGAAATCGTCTCTCTTTCCACAGAGCACCGCATCCTCGGCCTTAAAGCATGGACCCTCTCCATTCAGCTTTCCTTTCCCACAACATGCTCTCTCTGTCTCCTTCATCCCTACACCATTACATGTTTTCCCACGCTTAACCAATCCTGCACGTATACGTCCAAAAAATTAGCCTACCTAGCTAGCTCAAGCATATTTCTGTGTTGCATCATCATCAGAAGGCTCGCTCATTCTAATATTTCTAAACCACATTTCTCTTAATTATGATTACGAGGCTTTCCTGCAACGTGATTAATGAAATTAGTTGTGATTAAAATACGGTGTCGTTTCGGGATCCATGTTGGAGGCATATATAAACGCACGTACCCAAGCGGGAGGGTTGTTGCAAGACGGAAGAAGCCATGGCGAAGGAGTCGCCGAGGGAGTACTTAAAGTCAGTGAACTCAGAACTGAGCCTCTGCAACACAGCCTCAGAAGCCGAGTAGAAGGCTGTAGCCATTTGGTTGAGTGGTTCCACACATTCTCCTCCATGCCTCCTTGCTCTTGCTGCAGGACAGCACCCAATGGCCGCTACACTTATTATCCCGAATTTTCTTGCCCCTGATGCGTGTAGACTCTGCATTTTTATTGTAATCCACCACCACCACCACGACGTTTGTCATGGCTAGCGATAATATATTAGTGTTTTAGGATGAAGGAGGATATATACGAACCCTGATGTAAGCGTAGTAGTTGGATTGAAGAGCAGACAAGTAATGTTCCTGTCCTAATCTGACGGCAGTGTGGTTGCTTGAGACGTTGCTTCCAGCGCTGATTATGAACAATGCCTTTGAAAGGAATGTTTCTGTCTCTCTCCCCCCCAATGTCTCCGCCATAATTCTTCGCACCTCTGCAAATTGTTCCACTTGCTTCTCAAGGAATATCACCTCACCCTTCATCCATTTCAAACACATTTTTTACTAGCAATCCCTAGAGATTCTTCATCAGTACCAGAAAGACCATACTGTGTAACTTTACACTCTTGTGTGCGTGTGTGTGTGTGTGTGTAGTTCTCTGTCAAACTCATGACAGACTCACTGAAGAAAGAGCAAATTATTATATATGTTATCACTAAACCATCGTTTTTTTCCAGTGTCTCTGAGAATTCCAGACCCTCCTGATGCAAAATTCACTCCTCCTAGTACATTCTTTTCGAAACTGTACGGATCATTTCGCAGAGCCAAGTAAGGTGGTGGACTCTCCGCATATCCGAGTAGTTTAGCTTCATTATATTAACAAATCAATCAAAAACAGATCGACCATGATCAAATGATCATAATTATTGCATTCTTAAAAAAATAACTAATTACCAATATGGTCAATAGTGTTGAAGCCATTGCTGAACCTTCCAGTGGCCATCGAGTTTGGAAAATCAATCCCATAATAAGGCACGTTGGCCTTTGCTCGAGTATTCAGAAAATTGTTGGTGCCAACATCTGCGGTTGAATCTCCAAATATGAATAGAACTGGCCTATTCTCCTGAGCCCCATATGCTACGTGCATGGCCGCACAAAGAAAACATAAAAACAAGAGAACCACTTAGGCCAGAAAATGATGCCATTTTCTGCACCTTAATTTCACACCCGGAACGTTATTATTGATGTTAATTGAGATGCCAAACACGAGACTCGTGCAGCGTTTATTTATATATATCAAACATGCGAGGAAGGAAACAAAAGGGTAAGGTCAGATTATTGTAATGAAAATCACCAAAGGTTTCGACAGCGCCGACCATGATGCCATGTTGTATTTGGCAGGAACCAATTATAATTAGAGGAGAATCCTATGTTTGTTTAATTAATGATATCGTTTTCACATGAGCGTCTATGTTGGGATATTATGCTATTGGGAATCTTGAAATTGTGTTATTAGAACTTTAACGATCGAGTTGGTAAAAGTTAATTGGGCATTGAAGGATTTTAGCTCATGCAGTGCTCTCACGCTTACTTGATCCCGCCAATGAAATGAAATTATTATATGTAGGTGTAGACTCAATTCATAAAAAATGATGAATCAATAATGTACATATGATGATTTTAACTCATGCAGTGCACTCTCACGCCTACTTGATCCCCAACAAAATGAAATTATAAGTAGATTCCTCGAAGTATGTATGGTTATATGAAGATATAGACTGATCAATTCATAAAACTTGACGAATCAACGATGTAAATAGACTGATCAATTCATAAAAATTGATGAATCAATAATGTAAAAGGGGGTGTGTATTAGAGGAAAAAAAAATCTACTGTCAATTAACCTAATTTGTCTGATCTGCTGGTTTTCGGTAGATTAACTTTATTTAACAATTTCTCGCATATTACATGAATTAATTATGTTCAAGATTTAAATCTTTTTTGTTCGTCATAGATAAATTAATTTTCCACGTTCATGAAATGTATATTTACAGAATAAGAGATTAATAGTTACAAAATGAAAATAAAAGAATAAGAGATTAATAGAAAAATATGGGGATTGGAGACCCTTGTAGGTTGAAAATTTGATACTGTCAAAAGCTAGCAGGGTTATATGAAAAATGAATTGTTCGGGTAATTAAGTGTGTGTTTGGTTTTCAGTTTGTCAAAAGTCAGTTTAATGAAAGTTTATTTGGTAAAAATCAGTTTAATAAAAGTCAGTTGTTGTAATAAAATTTATGTTTGGATATGTATTTTTAAAAGTCAGTTTAACAAATTAAAAGTTGTTTGGATTGATAAAAATTTGTGCTTGTGAAACATACTTTTAAATATTCAATTACCAAAAACGATATTAATTTATGATAATTTATAATTTAGCATATTTTATTGAATTAAATGTTTTTCAGTAAGAATTTTATTTTCTTAGCTCATTTTATTACTTGGATAACTTTTTATTCTTATTTTTAAAACTTTAGTTGGTTCAATTGCATTAGATTAATTTAACTTTAATTACTTTGTGTTTTCAAGAAATTGAAGGGCCAAGTTGGTAATTTATTTATTTTTATTTTAAATTATATTTTTGACTTTTCAAAGGCAGATCATCTGGCACGCACGAAGGAAAAAGAAAAAGAAAAGAAAAGAATGCAAACGAGGGAAGATCAGCATCGCACACAAAGATCGCTCTTCACCACTTTCTCTCGATCAAGGCTTGGTCGCACGAGTTCGTCAAGGAGGATCTGCCATAGCCACCTGAGTTTAGGGAGGCAATGATAGTCCATTGCGATGAGCTTTTCAAGAACAGTGGAGATGGAGTGACAGAACACGAGCTCGCTCACGGCAAGAAATGGAGGGTATCATCGTCAAATATAATGCTCAACTCTACATTCACATTTGAAAAGTAACTTTCTGAAACTTTTGGAATTCACATTCAACCCATCTCCAAATGTGCTTTTTCAACGTGTTTTTGTTCAGAAAATTTTTTTTCAAATATCATTTCACATCTCAAAAGTTAAAAAGTCCTTTTGGAATGTAGAATATAGTTTTTCCAAATGGTCCTTAAATGTTTTTTGGGTCTATATCGTGAATGGCTTGTTTTAAACTTTAATTATCATGTTTTAATCTTGTTCTTCTTTGTTTTTTCAACCGACAAAAGTTTTAATTTTGTTCATTTAATAAATAAACCAGATTCTGATCTTAGATTCGCTAAATTAAAAGAATCTAATTTAAAGATGTAATGTTTGACTCATTAGGTTAATAAAAATTAAAATTATTACACTGATATTAAGATTAATAATCCCTTTTTTGTTGGATACGCATTGGACTTTGCTATTAGCACTCTGAATAGTATCGCCCCCATGCATAATCTAGCCAAAGGATCACAAATAAGGAAAGCAGATTGGAACTTTCAAGGCTGGTGATTGATACTCCCTCCATTTAAAATATAAAATATTTTTAATTAAATTTTATCTCTCAATAAAGTAATTTTTTATCTTTAAACTAACCCTATCTTTTTATATTTACCCATATTTAATAAAGTATTTTACCTGAAAATAAATATAAAATAATTTATTTAATAGGGGCACTTTTTAAAAAAATAATAATTATATCTTTAAAAACTAAAAATATTTATATTTTTTAACATCCAACTCCTCAACAAATCTGTTATATTTTTTAACGGAAGCAATATCATTTATGTGCATAATTAATTAATTATTGGTTCTTATATAATTTAAATAAATTAATCTCTTTATTTAAACAAATTGCGATTAAGTTGTTGTAATGTGTATAATTTTTAAATCATTCTTTATTGTTAATTAACTTTGGAAAGTAGTATTTGTTAAGTTTCTACGGTAGAACTTTTTTTTTTTTTTTTTGCCAACGGTAATAGAACTATTGTGTATCATCTTGATAATTTATATACGCACGATTAATTTACAATGAAATAACATTAACTTAAATATAGTTTAAATTTTAACAAAAATACGTTGGGAAAAAATAAATTGAAATATTTTTAAATTATAAATAAGTAGCTCACGTGTATCAATTGCAAGAAAAAAATTAATAAAAATTAAATACGATTACAAGGATAAAAAATAAAAAATTTTCTGCTTAAACTTTTAGTATTTGTATGGCATAGATCCACTGAAGGTAATTCCTTATGAAAATTTGATCTGATTAATTAATGAGGGTTGGGTCTAGCAAAAGAGACTAATCCCTCACAATATAATGAATTAAGGTTTGAATTTTACAATAAGAGTTGCCTACGTTTAGTACCCGGCTATGCCTCTCACAAGATTAATTCCAATAAAATGATACATGTGAGCACTCTTGTCAAACTCAAATTTATTTTTTAAGTTTATCATTTTAATATTTCTAACTTATAAAATCATGTTAATTCGTTCAAAAACTTACAGTATATATAAATTTAGTTAAACTCACAAGTTAACTCTTTAGATTTACCATTTTTATATTTATAGCTTATAAAATTATATTAACTCATTTATAAACTTAGTTAAACTTGCTAAACTCATCTTTTTTTTGGAAGTTGAGCAACTTAGGTATATACGGTTTAAAACTTGGTTCATAGAAGTTGTAAGACCTGGTTCAAACAAAAATAAACCTCAAAAGGAAAAAAATTAATATTAATAAAAACAAGAAATACCAAAACTAAGGGCCTGTCTAATTTATGTTCGCATTTTTTATTTTTAAAAATTATTTTGTAATATAGTTTTTAAAATTATTTAAAAAAATAAAATAAAAATTTGTTTGGTTATGTCAATTAAAAAATGGCCTTAGAATTAAAAATGGACTGATAGTGATGATTGTAAGCAGTTAATGGTGGTGAATAGTAATAAAAATTAATTAAGATAGTTATAATTTTCAATAACCAAATGTAGTATATTTTAAAAACAAAAAAAAATAAAATGAAAACAAGTTAAAGTTGTTTCTATTCTTTTAAAAAAATGCAAACAGTTTTAGAAACAACTAAATAAAAAATACTTATCCAAATAATTTTTTAAATATTTTTGTTTTCAAAAATAAAAAATTGTTTTTAAAAACAAAAAACAAACAAGCCCTAAGTTGCCATACTTTGAAATTTCTATGTTGAGTATGATAATATCAACGTAGATTGATTTAATTTCAATGATTCATATTTGACATAAATTTGACTCAAATTATGGTCATATTTTATATTTTAATTATTTAATCATATATTTTTAATGATTATTTATTAATAAAAGTAAATTTTTATGACTTTACGATTTGAATTCACATTCCTATTACAAGTTTAGTTAAATTTATGAGTTTGACAACTTTACCTGTGATTAAAAAAGAAACTCAATCTCCTTAATGCACAATCTAATTAATGAGCCAAGGATACTCTCATGATAGGACTAAAAAAATAAGGGTAAAAGTGCAAATTTAGTCACCAACTTTTCTCTAGAAGAACTTGATAGCTTATATTATGAGGTGGTCTAAAATAAATTTTTAAATTTAGAAAATGAAGTATCTAGTAAATTTTATTAATTTTTATTTAACGGATGTTAACGTTCATGTGGGGACCATAAATTTTTGATTGAAATGATACATGACACTCCACCTCAGCAAATAAAGATGCAAACCTAATAATAAACTATCTTTAAGAAGCACTTGGTAACCTCTACTATAAAAAATGAACCATCCAATACTTTCAAAATAATTTTGACCAAACATGGTTTATTTTCAAACTTATAAAACTCATAACGCATCAATCTTTTCAATCTTCTTGCTTTTATTCTCAGTTTCAATTGGAGAAGAATAAGTTCAAAGAGTTTTTATTTAAAGACATTCATGAGAACAATTCTAACGAAGTAAAAGAAGAAGAGGAAGAAGACAATGTTTTGTTTAAACCTTTGCAACAATGTAAGGGAAGTAGTGATTTGAAATGTGAGGCTACTAAGCTTAAAAGAAACTTGATTCAAACTTAATTTAGCCATAAATTATTTTTATAGAAAATGAAGTGATTGAATCAAGCTTTTTCCATGCATGGTAGCATCATAATTCAAACTACTACTTTACTTGAATTGTCATAAAGATTTAAACAAAACT